GTTTTTAGTGTTCTTAGACACTTGACAAGAGAAAGTATTTCTCTTGTTGTTCGAAGGAAGGGTTGTTTCCTTCGAAGGTTTGTTGAGGTTCGTGTGACTCGAACTCTCAAGTTGTACGGGTTTGTTAAGCACCGTTAAGCTTAACGAGATAGTAGTGTAGCTCGAGAGAGTCTCTCGGGAGGCTGGATTAGCCACAAGTTGTGGTGAACCAGGGTAAAATCGGTGTGCCTCTTACTCTTCTCTTTACTTCTCATTTATTCATTTTTATTCCTGCGATTTTTTGATCAAACGCTATTCACCCCCCCTCTAGCGTTGGTCTATTATTCTAACAAACCCAAGTGTCTTATTACCCAATCAAGTTGTCCATACCACATCCTAAATTCTATCATGGTATCAGAGAAGGTTTTGGCCCACCTCGTTTGTCAAGGTGTCCGTCTAGACGTTCATTCCTAGCGGCCCGTTAGTCTTTAGCCCAGTTGTCCGTATGGAGTATGTACCCAATGGCCTGTGGCCCGTTTAACACGATTGCTCGTCTGGAAGTCCATACCAGCGGCTCGTGGTTCTTAGGTGTTGGCGCTAAAAAAATCAAGGGGATTGGATTCCATTTGCAAGTGGTCAACCGGTTAGATTCAAAATGGCCCGGTTGTCCACTTGAGGGGGAGTATTAAAGAGTATCCCATATCGGAATTTGAAGAGAAAATAAACCGGTATATAAGCCTTTGAGTTGAACTAACTAATCGATTGAATTCAATCTTTTAATGTGGTTCAACCCAAGTGTCTTATTATCCAATCAAGTTGTCCATACCACATCCTAAATTATATCACTATTATCAATAGTTCCTTTGTTTTTTCTCTATGCATTTGATATTCTATCATATCTTTCGAAGCGAGTGTTATGGTTTCTGTACAGTGGAGCATAGCAACCAGCCCTTAGAATGGTACGAGTATATCAGTGCAGCGAATAGGAGGGATAACCGAGTGCATGATGCTTACTATATAAATATTCAATATAAAAATGATTAAAATTTACCAATGTTAATGATATTTGAACTTACCAATTGCTACTTAACCCAGAGAATTTAAAAGCGTATAGCCGTATACATCAGTGTAATGGATCGTTTTTCATCCTGATGGTGTTTTATCATCTTTCCAAATATGCTCATTTTATGGCTCTACCATGATAGAATTTAGGATGGAGTATGGACAACTGGATTAGGCAATAAGACACTTGGGTTGAACCACATTAAAAGATTGAATCAAATCAATTAGTTAGTTCAACTCAAGAGCTTATATATCGATTATTTTGCTCTTGAATTTCCGATGTGGGTTGACACTCTAACACTCCCCCTCAAGTGGACAACCGGGCCATTTTGAATCTAACCGGTTGACCACATGCGAATAAACTCCCATTCCCTTGTTTTTTTGTGAGCGCCAACACCTTAAAGGACCACGAGCCGCTGGGTATGGACTTCGAGGCGAGCAATCGTGTTTGCCGTTGGGTACATACTCCATACGGACAACTGGGCTAAAGACTATTGGGCCACTAGGAATGAACGTCTAGACAGACACCTTGACAAACGAGGTGCGCCAAAACTTGCTCTGATACCATGATAGAATTTAGGATGGAGTATGGACAACTGGATTAGGCAATAAGACACTTGGGTTGAACCACATTAAAAGATTGAATCCAATCGATTAGTTAGTTCAACTCAATAGCTTATATACCGATTATTTTGCTCTTGAATTTCTGATGTGGGATGACACTCTAACATACCACATCCTTACACAACTGTCTTGATGTATCAACTTTTCTTTGTTAATTATGTTAAACTCCATGGGCCCTTGGAAACCATTGTCAGTGATAAAGTGTTTAAAAGGAATTTTAGGAAGGAATTGTTCCATCTTAGTGACACTACATTGTCCTTTTCTAAAGTAAGAGCTTGTTCTTTTCAACTTATTCTTATTACATATTACTTGTTCTTATTGGAATCTGATCAGATTAGATTATAAACAACTTTAAACATAACTACAATCAAATCAGAGCAGATCAAATGAGAACGTATTCCAATCAGATTAGACCAATCACATCACCTGAAGAGCAAGCCATTAATTACCCTAAAATTGACAGCCAAACAGAGGTGGTGACAGTTGAGATGTAGGTGTGATGCCTTGTGGTGTTCTGGGTGATCAGCTACACCGTTGGGTAGATTGGCTTCCTTGGGCTGAATATTGCCACAATACCTCCTATCACTCTGCTTTGAAGACGAATTCACATTCTTGAAGACGAATTCACATTCTGTTTGGTTTATGTTTGTGACTCTCCAAAACTTGTGACAATTGATACAGGCTTAATGAAGGTGGCTGCTGTTGAGGAGGTTATACTCTCCTATGATCTTGCAATCTGCCAAAGGTAATGGTAGATACTGAATTAGAAAAACAGAATATAACGATCACTCTATCTAAACTTACCAACCAAGCATCTCACTTAAAGAGACTCTAATACCCAAGCACAGTGTCCAAAATCCAAATGATAAAAATATAATTCTGATTCCTCATCACTTGCTTTATGCTGTTGATTTTGTATATAAAACTGAAATACAAAAATAAAATGAGTAGTATGATGGATAATGATAAAGAGGTACCGAAGTGAGAAGAAAGATTTACGCATGGATTTTATTGATTTGGAAAAGGCATATGACAAGGTGCCAAGAGAGTATTATGGAAGGTGTTACAGAAAAAAGGAGTAAGGATTGCGTATATTCGTACGATTAAGGACATGTACGATGGTGCTACGACGAGCGTGAGAAGTCAAAGTGGGGTAATAGGAGAATTTCCCATCGGTGTAGGATTACATCAAGGGTCATTGTTAAGCCATCTTTTTACAATAATATTGGAAGTTCTTACCGAGCATATTCAAGAACGTGCACCATGGTGCAT